GACCCGTAACGGCCTCCCCTCACGGCAACACCCTCCTCCTCCCTCAGCGAAGAAGGTCCAAAAGCACGACCCGCAGCTTCTGGCTCAACCAGCCTTTTTATTGCTGTGCTTCAAACGTAACAGTCCCGAGCGTACCACGGCGAAACAAAACACACAGTCATTTCGGAAACCAAAGCGTTGCAGTCCTCTCAAAAACGGCAGCAGGCTCGTCGCTCCCGCGGCCCAGGCTCTGACAGCATGGTCCTGCCTCACACCAAGGGAAGTGCAAGCTGGAGCTCCTTGCTCCCAAGGTGGCACCCGGCGTCCGAGTTCAGTACCGTACAGCTCAAAACACCTTAGTGACCCTTGCAGCCGGAGTCTGGGTTAACACCGGTGGCATTAAATCGATTCCAGCTACCCACGGGAAGGTGAGGAGGAGATCAAGTCCATGCCATCGCTTCTACTAGCGGTTTGTTGACGTCCTCATTTACAGGAGGTTTGTAGACATATATATGTACACAGGAACATTTTTGAAGTTGATCGTAAACATTAATCTGTAGCTTCTAATTTACTTATAATGTTATTACTTTTTAAAGTGTTCAATACATTATCGTAAGCCTTGGTATCTATGTACCTTAGCTCTTCCAGTAACTTAATAATAGATTGTTTCTCTCCCAGTGTGTTTTTCCAGGTGAGAAGCATCTGATAAGATTGTTCTTCTATATCATTAGGAAAGTTATAAGTAATGTTAACTATATCATTTTCCTGCAGATGAGTTCTCATAAGCCGCTTCCATTTTTTCAGTGGTACTTGATTTATAAAGGTCCAAAAGCTCTCTCTCAGTTCTGAAAGACAAAACACAACACACATCAACTTAGGTTTTAAAACACGGATTGTTTTCATAGCTAACACACACGTTTTCCCATTAATTTTCAGCCACTATGTGCACAGACCAAACAGCAGCATCCAGGCCAGGTTTGGCACCTAAGCAGCAGCAGAAGTACATTTCCTACTGAGTGATCTTGCAAGAAGCTAAAGGTACTGGTCCGCCTATCTCAAAAGTAGTGTCTTAAGACGAGACGCCATTCAGTAGAGGTGGTTTTGAGGAAGGTTTCATTGGCCTGCATGTTTTTGCTTAAGCTTGATAGGGCTACTCAACAGTAGGCTTTAATCACTTCACTATGCTACCAGTATAGGTTTGCCACACCAAGACCCGCACCAGCAAAACGCGTCACTTGGACATCCAGCACATCGATTTACTGGGTACAGGCAGATTATGGGGGTTCAATGCGGTCTTCCATGGGAGCAGACATTCGATAGAAAGATCTCCTGCTCTAACCTACACCTCACTCATTAAGGCAGAGTACGCTGCTGCAATGCAGACTTGTTTAATACATATTAAAACAATTCTACCATTCTTATTCTTAAAAGCATGACTGCACTAAGCTCCTGCACAGAGAAGCCATGCTTTAAAGTAGAACAATTCACCACAGGGATTACAACTACTCTCAATTGTAGTAATAATCCTGTTTCCGCATATTTTACAATAAACTAAGAGCTTTATAGCTCTTAAGCAATATTCATTAGCCTCCCTACACTATTACTTAAGTAGACTAAAGTCAACAGGAAAAAAACAAATTCGAAGTACTGCCAATTTATGGAATACTTACCTTTTTGAGAGAGATCTTTAACAGTTATTCGACACTTTGGTTCTCGTACCTGTAATACAAAGTTGGACTGTTACTCCAACGTATCAGAGCACTTTCACTCATGATTATTTCTGAGTTACTTGACAGCTTGCTTCCACAGCACACACACCAATAAGGGGGAGGGGGGCAGATTTCACAGCACAGCTGAAAGTGTTTCAGTAAAGAAAATTGCGTGCTGAAACAGCCATGCTACTAGCTCTGAAATGAAACAACACAGCAACACATTTGTTGCTATTGCAAAAGAATAGCTTCTGTGTAAATATTGAGCAGGGAGATGAGAGAGGCAGAGCAGATTAAATGAGGGACTGAAGTTTGCTTTCCCAAGATATCACTTCTTATACTTTCTATTACATCTTTAAGGCAAAGCCTCCTCTTCCTTATCGTCCTGCCTGAAAACAGCATCTACCACTCAAGGAACAGTTAAGAACCCAACTGAAATTATACCTGTATCAGAGAAAATATAATGATAATTTCATGCACACACACTTACCATGTGGTTTGCTGGCATCCTACCACCTGGTACTTCAGACAGGGCATTCTGATGAAAACCAGGATTCTGCCCAGCTTTTCCTGGTAGCGAGGACTCAATGATCCTCCTCCAGCCCCCGTGCAGTATGGTGCCCTGCTCAAGAAGTGCAACACCATTTTCCTCTGGTGATGTGTTTTTCATTTCCAAGTTAACATTGGTTTGCGCTTGGTCCTCTGGGGTCTCACCAGAGTTCTCACCCTCTGGGTTGGCTGTGTTATTGGCAGGTGTCTCCACTTCTGGTAAAATGAGGCTTTCAGTACTACCCTCAGACTCCTGCAAAGAATAAGAACACATTTTAAGAGGTGTTTCTTAGGTAGGCCTTCAAGGACAGTCTGGGGAAGAAAACCAGTTGAAGTCACCAGACGTCAGAGAAATAATAAGAGAGCTTCTAATTTGGCAAAGTTACAAACATACAGAAGTTACAGCCTTTATAGACTTGGACTTCAAATGGTTTCAGAGCCTAAACTCTCTGCTTCGCTGGCTGTTCCACTCCTGCTGGACTGTGGGGTAAGGCTCACAGGCTACCTCCACAACAGACACAAAAACTTTTCTGAACACTTTCACTGGCCAGTATTGCTGCTTGCTCCTCTCTGGGTATAGCAGGTATGCATCCCTCCCAAGGCAGGAGGAAGTTCAACTGCCTTGCTGCAGCTGAGCTGACTTAACAGCAACAGCAGCCTGAAGCCTATAGTTGTATCAAGGCTGATGCTCTCAGAGTTTCTGCCAAGCTGATAATAGCATATCAGCTCCATGTGAGTGCACTAGCTTGGGTTTTTTTTTGGCCAGATTAGTTTTTCTGGTAGATTCACAAACTAGAAGCAGTTGAAAGAAGCCAGTGAGCACCAGTGCACATTGCACAGCTTTTGTGAGGGGTCAAAGAGGTAAGCAAGTGAGCAGGGCTGCATCATCTTTAGCACAAGCCAGGGAGTATAGCTGCAGCTCAATAAGAGCAGTACAAATACAAAGCAGATCAGCATCTACCTAGCATATCAGCTAGTGCTAAAACTGGAGAGCTTTAGGATTTTTTTTTTTTTTTAAAGTGGAAAATGAGGTTAAGGAGTGACTGTTTTTCCAATGAGACTTGTGTTTGTCAAGGTACAGTTTCTTCAGGAGTGTAAGCCAGTGTGATTTCTGTTTGCACAAGGTCAGCGACCCACATGCGACACCACCATGTGACCAACACGTGTAAGCAGGGATGTGAGGGGAACCACCCCACACATGACACATGTAGTTGTACATCATCCTCATTGAATCCACTTTCTGTTTAAGGGTGCAAACAGGTTAAACAAGCTCATCCTATTTATACAGAACAGTTCTTAAATAGGTAACCAAGTGACTGAAGGTACATAGCATGGCTGACTAACGAATAGCCTGCATCAGTGTAACTCTCCTTGGGAAATGAGCTTTTTGTTACAGTAGCACGAACACTCCAAGTGCGCGGACATTGCAGCTCAAGTCTGTGACAACTCTCACATCAGAGCTAAGTGTCACTGTGCACCACTTTGTGAACACATTATTCTACTACCATTTTATTCAAATTAAAGAGATATTGTATTTGCCTATTCCTATGCTACGGTATTTTGACCAGGTTTTCTGTCATGTTTCTTCATCAGCTTCTACGAATACACGAAGCGCTGCGAATCTGGCCAGGGCGTGGGGGGAGACACAATCTCACAAAAAACCATGGTTGATTCACATATTTGAGCCACTTATGGACCTTAAAAAGAGAAGAGTTTAAGGTGATGTGTTTAACAGATCTTTCAATTCCGCTTCTCAGTCTTCAAGTATTTTTGACATAATCAAGATACATTTAATTGCTTGAAATGTCTAACTAGTAAGATTAGACAAGACCTCATGCACCAGGTGAGTAGTGTGTGCATTAGGCATGGGACAGGAAAGGCAGCAGGGAGAAGGTGCTGTACACATGCTATGAGAGTAATCTGGATGTTTTTCTTACATCCTCATCAAGACAAACATTGTTTTACAGCTTGGTGTTACACATTGTAACAATACTAGTGAAGACTGAACTTATTTTTGCCTTGCTGTGCTGTTAGGAGTGTAGCTTCTAAATAGAGAAGCTAGAGCTAGACTAGCTAAATACAAGCCAGCCTTTTATTTACCTTGCAAAATGCTACACTGGCAAAAATCTTTTTAGAGTGAAACAGTAAGGTTCTGAAATAGTGTTTGACTACAGGAAGACAGGGTGAACCTAGCTTTACAGTGGCACATAGGCCAGCTGCCAGCCGTAGCCTGGTAAACTCTTTTCAAGGATGTACTTCTGGTGTGCGCTGAGCCCTGAACCCCTCATCTTAGGGGACTGTCTAGGACCAAGAATATACACTGCCAGGCCCTGGTCTGTAGCTTGTGACATCAGCCCAAAGGCAGGACAACTCAGTCACTCTGCTGGATCAAGAGAAGTCAATCTTATGAACAAATAACATTGTAGTCAAAACTCAAGGAAAGCTAGAACGCCACCATGCAGGGAAGCAATAGCTGGCATTGCCTGGGGAACACATGCATGAAGTGGCAAAGAACTACTTGGATCAAGGCATCACCTGGAGACAGTTTGAAGCAAAAGCTTGCGTTTAGCCTAACTTATTTTTCCACCTTAAAAACATCCTGGCCACAGGCTCTGGGATGTTTCCAAGAGAAGTACTGGAAAGGCCAACTGCAGTGGACACATGCAGCTAATGAATCCATCAGGCCCTTGCCAACATCTGGCCCTGTATGAATCACAACTTGTTGCATCACAGGAACACCTCCCACCAGAAGACTACAGCGAGACAAAAACAGAGCTGTGTGTCAGGTACAATTAAGCAGGGCACAAGTAAGTTCCACAAAACTGAGATGAAACACTTCATCTATCATCTACTTACCAGACCTTTCTCTATATCTTTATCAGTTGAAGCAGCTGGAAAACAAGATAAATGTCTAAGAAACTTTTAGGAATTGCAGCAACTTAAAATTAGCTAAATTCACACAAGATTTATATGCAGACACATTCATAACGCAAACCAAGAGCTCTAATGCAAGCCATTTAATTTCCTTGACTTGCATTTCATGAGTACTACTCTTCACTTCCACCAACAGCACACACACTGTGCCTTCATACAGGGGACAGAGTGTCCCGCCTAGTAAAATCCAGACCGCAAGATGCAGTTTGGCTTTTATGCCACTCTTTCAACCTCCCCCCCCAGCTTATGCTTCTTAGCATTTTTGTGGGCTACTGCAATACAAAATAGAAGGTAGAAATTGTCTTTTATGCCATACAATCAGTAAGACATGATTTGAACAAAGTCAACATTCAAAATTCAGAATAATTTTCAGCATTATTCCAACTAAACTAGTTGCAAAAACACTTTAATATGCAGTAGTGAAAAGAAAAGTTTCTCTGGAAAATATCTCCATTTTCACTTAAAAAAAGAAAATTAGTTCAAACTGAACTGATCAACCTAACATTCGTGTTCAAAGCATCAAGTGATGAAAGGGAAACAATTTGTAGAAAAAAATCTTCACAGCCACAGTGAATGCAAGTAGTTAATGATCTAATTAGTTGCTACTTCTTGCCCCATACATCTGACCTCACGCACAGATTTTTCTCACTCTGCCAACAAAATGCAACTAGATAGAAAAAGTCCTTTTAAGGACCTTACACTAATCTTGTTGAAGCAAAGGCATCTGTCAGCAAAGTAAGAAAGCTCTAGCTAAAGTTTATGCATTTTATTTACTGAACAAAACTAGTCTCCATTATACAGGAGTTACTTAACTGAATCACATACTAAATGAGATAGAGCTTAAATAGGTCCCCTAAAAGGGTAACGCAGAAAACAGGCATAGCCTTAGTGCATGCTTTGCCTAGTTCTGGGAAGTTTATGGATAGTAATCAGTTACCTTTATCACTCTTCAGCTTTCTAATTACAAAGAACAGCAACAAACCACCACCAACCAAAATAATCACAATAATCCAAACAAGAGCTGTGCTTCCTGCAAAGGAAAAAGAAATAAAATTAGTACTGAAGTAGTGTCCCCAAACAAGACTTTCCAACATGCAAGTCTGTCTTCCCTGCTGTCCTAGAGAACAACCTAAGCTCAGCACTAGCAGATCGTGACCCAGCTAGCTTGTCCTGGAAAAGGCACTGGGTCTACCAGCTGACCTGACCATGCAAGTACTCCTTCACACTGCACATCATTATCCCAAAGGCAGCGGGAGATTCTGTCCAGAGCTGCAACACAACTTCTGCAACGCTTTCTGAAGAGACACTTAAGAAAAGGAGGAAACAAGTCTGCAAAAGTTGACAGTGAGTTTCAGGCGCTGTAGCATTGGTAGCATCAGCTCCTTCTTTCTCTAGTCTGGCAGAAGCTACCTAGTAGCAGAAGAGAAAGCCACTCCATACGCAGCTTCTCAGACATACAAAATGTATAACTTCCAATAGTGTCACTGTTGCAACTTTGAAAACCCTGAAAATACACCTAGCGAAATTTAAGATGGGTTGTCACTCCAACTCCTTCAAGAACTTGTCTCTAGCAAGTAATTCCAAGACCAGAAGCTCTTAAACATGTTACAGTAGTTCAAACCACTGTTTTATGGACTGCTGTGGTGTTCTTAGCCTGGAGGCAACTACCCAGCAGACCCAGCCAAGAGGTATTTGTGTACCAGACCTTGATCAGGTAAGCCACATCCTAGGTCCATAGTAGCATTGCAGTTCTGCACAATTTCTTTCCCTTCTGGACACCTGAAGTGGATGGCAACACAAGGTCGTATCAACATTTCCAGAGCAATATGCAGCTCTGCTCAGGCCTAGTTTTTTTTCAGGCAGAGCTTAGAGACATGAGCAGAACATGCATAAACTGATAACTTGGTTAGAAACGCACCTTTAAACAACACAAGATAATACTACAAGATTAAACAGAAGCAAAGCAGATAAAGCTCATGTATGTTAGCTTCTAAGTGGTGTGGAAAAAACCCCACAGAGTAGATGCATTATTCGTGCACAGTTAGTTTGCTTTCACAGCCACTTCTACCTCCTGAAATTCTGGGCTGGCTGCTACAAAGCTCATTCAAGTGCGTACATGGGGAAATACTAATCTGAAGACATGAAAATCGTAAGCTTACAGCCATAAACAACAAGCACAACAATACCAAGAGCCGTATCGTTCTAGGTCTCAACCTCACGTCTTTTGACACCTAAAATTTAAATGCACGAATAATGCCATTTGGCTTCAGGGCAATTATTTACAGCCTAATAACATGTGTTAGGCTACAATAACATTGGCACAGGTTGGGCCACAGCTCTAACATTCTCTAGAATGAAAACTGTTGCTTATATTCCATTATTTAACTTACATTGTACTGCATTTCTGACATATTTCACAGCCCTCAGCAGGGCAGAAATACCCTTGTTTGCACTGGCATTCAGTATCCTGTGTCAGAGTACAGGGTCTCAAAGTTATCTGATCTAAAAATAAAATATAAGTTACAAAGTAAATAGAAAAGTAAATATAAAGTCTACAGCTGTGTAAAAATTATACTCAGGCCACAAAGACAATTTATTTCTTGAAGTTCAATACTCCCAATGACTGGAAGTGCAAAGAAACCCTGAAGCACCAGGCTTTCCACATAAAAAAAAAGGGGAAAAGGGTTAAGGTTTCACCAAAGTTGTGCTTGGTACCATCTTTGCACTGCCTGCAGGGCAAACATTCTTCCAAGCCGTTCTCGTGGGCGGTGTAACCCTCTCCTTCCATGCAAGGGTAGCATCTTCCTCTCAGATGCGGAGTGCTGCAGTGCTCAGCAACATAAGTACCTGTGGGTGAGGAGAACTGGCAGCAGTCTCAAGGGATCACTCAACAGGCAGAGGACTATGACAGGATGTCACAACACAAAGCGCTTTTGGTGAAAGTTCGTCCCCTCCTCGCAAGTAAGGGATGAGCCACGTGAGCCGAGCGGCAGGATCTCAGCCTGCTGCTCCGACAGGGAGCAGTGGCAAACAAGGTGTCCAGCCAGGCCTCGGCCGGGACACACCAGGGCCAAGGACAACCCTCTGCAGCAGCTCAGGGCCACCTACATGGCCAGGACCATCTCCGCCGAAGGGGCATGGTGGGCACAGGGACAACTGCTTGCAACAACCTCTCTTCCTCTTAGTCTGAATTATCTTTAAATGCAGCCGACAGCCCTCCGATACTATCCACAGGCAGCATGCTGCTTGGCACAAAGCTTGTTAACTCTGCACACATTGAGCAAGGAGGGGGAGAGCAAAGGCAAACCACAGTTTTACCTACAGACACAGAAATATCAGAATTCCCCTAGGCCCTTTCTCCGTGCTTTTTTTTTAAATTTTCCCACCAAAAAAAAAACCCCCCCCCAGCCGACTTTGAAGACTTCATCCTCTGCAGCGGGCAGAGGTTTCCTGGCTTGCTGCCAAGGCACCTCTCCTGGCCATCACCTATTGCGCAAGGGGCTCTCGCTTCAAAATGGAGCCTGGCCTCCACAGCACCAAGAAGCCACCACAGCTCCGAGCAGGCCTATGCTTTCACTAGATGCAATGTATAGAACAATAGTGATTCAGTCATCTCCACGGGGGAAAAAAAACATAGCTGTTCTCAGCCATAACTGCCTGAAGCCTTACCTGCTGGACACAACACGCAGCAGCGACCTTCGTGTAAGTACTCCCCCTCCTCGCAGTCCTCTGCTCCAGCTCTGGCCATGATCAGCAGTGCAACCTGCAGCAGAGACAAACCGGCCTTTAGGTGATTCATCCTCCAGGACACGATAACCATCTCGGGGAGATGCTCCTGTAAAGGCTTGAAAGCACATTCAGAAGTTCGTGGGAAGCCACAAAGGAAACCCAAACTAATTTCTGCTAAGCGTAGTAATTTCTGCTAAGGCTCACAGTGGTAATTACAATCACAAAGCTGGGGTTAGAGCAGCATCGTGCCATGGCTGATGGGTTTTAGGCAACTATTGCCCCAGAAACCTGCCTCCATTTTAAACTTCCATTTTCTTTTCCCTGGTTCACTGCAATTGAACTTCAGAGGCCGAGGTTTCTGCCTCCTGCGGGGGATGCGCTTCTCCCTCCTCCCGTGTTTTAATCCGGGGGGGGTCAGCGCCGGTCTTCCTCCCGCAAAATGGAGGAAACGCCCCAGACACCTCATCCGACATTTCTCGCTGGCTCTGTAACCTTCATCACAAGGCAAATAATTGAGTCATTAACAAAAATAACTTACTGGGAGCATTAGGAACTTGTCTTTTTCTTCTGTTTTTTACGCAGCCTGCGGGCCGCGCCCCCCGGCAAGCCTCCGGCGGGA